CCCCCCCCCCCCCCCCCGCCGAGGGCACCGCTTCCTGATTCCCACAGGCCCATGCGGCCCACCGTGCCCCGCTGCACAGCGTCAGAGCCCAGACAGGCGCCTGACAAAGCCCAGCCGGCCTAGCGCCCTCAGGCCCCTCACTCCCCTCCCCTCTCCCAGCCACACTGTGCTGCTTCTCCCGTCCCCAGTGCCAGCACCCCGGGGCCCCAGCTCTCCACCGGGACCTGGTGCCGCTCTCTCCCCGGCCACCCTGCCTCTGCCCCGCTCCCCTCCCCTGGCTGCAGAGCTGATCACGCCCACCTCCTAACACCCCCTGGCACCCCTGTTACTATCACCCCATGCTGAGCTTCTACTGTGTTGCCTTCCACTTTTCTTTGAGATGCTGTTAATGCAGTTCAAATTTTTTTTAGTATTTTTGGTTCAAAATGTAATATTGTGACTGGAAACAATGGCTCCGTGGTCCCAGGTGAGGCCATGCTCCTTGTTATGATCCACAAGGTCCCCACACCCTGGCTGCAGATGACCCCTCAGCGGCAGACCTCGTGCCCCAAGCTCCAAGCGGCCTGTCCTGTCATAGAGCCTCTCAGCGTTGCCCTCAACCCCAGGGCCTTTGCACATGCTGTGACTCTGCCCACACCCCTTGCCGCCTCCTTCCTCATCCTCCGTCCCTACTGCCATGGCCCTTCCGCTGAGAGGCCTGCCCTCCCCTCCAGCCTAAGTCAGGCCTCTCCTTGGTTCACCTCCGCAGCTTCTCACAGTCTGAAGTGACGTTTTTGTTGTCAGAATGAACTGGGCAGCCCCAGATGCTTCTCTCCACCCCCACTTCCTCCTAAGCAAGGGGTCAGCACTCCGGCAGCAGCGGCTCTTCCCAGGGGATGGGCCTCCCAGCATGCCTGTCCTCGGGCCTGGCTGCCGCTGACGAATGCCCATGAATCAAGTTGACGTTTCCATTACCGAAGGCCGGGCGGCTGGCTTCGGTGGGGGCGGCGAGATGACTGCTCATCACAGCCACCAGCCGCGGAGGGACATCAGCCGGGTGCCGCTTGAGACGGGGCCTGCCCATCAGCCCCCCGCCCGGGGACACTGGGGTGACGTGGGCAAATGAGAGGGCAGAGCCCCATTTCAGGCACCAGGTCAGCGCAGACACACGTGCACCCAAGGGTATGGGTCCAAGGGGGGCACACAGCATGAGGAGTGCCAAGGACACACGTTAGCACACATGTTAGCACACGTGTACATGCAGAGCGGCATCCTGCGCTCAGATGTGTCCAGGCTGGCGTGTGCGCTCAAGCCCAGGGCATGTGACCACAGGGACATTGGGTGCAAGTTCCCAGAGCAGAACATGAGAACCGCTCTGGGCTGTGGATCAGGCCAAAGCACGGGGGTCAAGACGAAAGGCGCGCACACAAAGCCAGCACCATTCAGCCATTCAGGGGCCAGAACACGTCCACGGCACGGGACTGAGCGGGGGAGCTGCAGGGGCTGGAGGAGGGGCCTTCGCTTCCCCAGGCAGGCTCTCCGTGCTCACCCACCTTCAAACCAGCTGCTCCTCCCTCCTCCCAGGTCCGGGAGTGGCACGTGCCGCGGAGGGACATCAGCCGGGTGCCGCTTGAGACGGGGCCTGCCCATCAGCCCTCCGCCCGGGGACACCGGCGTGATGTGGGCAAATGAGAGGGCAGAGCCCCATTTCAGGCACCAGGTCAGCGCAGACACACGTGCACCCAAGGGTATGGGTCCAAGGGGGGCACACAGCATGAGGAGTGCCAAGGACACACGTTAGCACACATGTTAGCACACGTGTACATGCAGAGCGGCATCCTGCGCTCAGATGTGTCCAGGCTGGCGTGTGCGCTCAAGCCCAGGGCATGTGACCACAGGGACACTGGGTGCAAGTCCCCAGAGCAGAACATGAGAACTGCTCTGGGCTGTGGATCAGGCCAACGCACGGGGGTCGAGACAAAGGCGAGCACACAAAGCCAGCACCATTCAGCCATTCAGGGGCTGGAGGAGGGGCCTTCGCTTCCCCAGGCAGGCTCTCCGTGCTCACCCTGGCGTCCCCGCCTTCAAACCAGCTGCTCCTCCCTCCTCCCAGGTCCGGGAGTGGCACGTGCTCCCTGCATGAAGGAGCCCCCCAGTCACCCTCCGTGGGGACCCACTGGGGCCACTCGCCAGCCTGCCTGGAAGCGCTTCCTTCCATCTCACCAGCGGCCTCCTTGCTGCGGGCTCTGTAAGCCCGGTTCTCACACCCGGCCCGAAGGTGCCCAGCCACGACAAAAGAAAGGACTTGAAGCCCGAGGGTGGTGCAGTGGCCCTTGGGGGAGCCGTCCG